GCAGGGGAGCAGTGGGGTGGGAGTCACAGCATATACGTAGGTACTCGGCATGCCCTGGACAGGAGGTCTTGGTCCTTATTCTGTGGAGTCCATGTTCCCACACCAACTTCTGATTCAAATTTAGTGCAGTCTGACACAGGAACCGTGATGGGTCTCAAACTGTGACACCAGCACCTTCTACATTTCATTAGGGAGTGTCAAAGCAGCCAGCTCTCTCTTGAGGCTGAGACACGAGTAACCACAATAAGGTCTGCCATCCCGTGAGGTCCCATCTGAATGGCTTTCCCCTGGGACACTTCCTATTCCATCACTGCCAGCAGAAGGGAGAAGAGGCCAGTCCAGACTGGGAGGCAATCCCATACTCACCAGCACAGAGTAAAGAGAAGAAAAAAAGCAGTACAGGCGCTTGGTAGGAATGTCAGACTTCTTATTTGCATTACAGAGCCACTGGACAGCAGAAATGCTGAGAAAGGAAGGGACCCCAGTCAGGACAGGTACCAACACGCACTGCTCTCCCCACCACACACATCCTTTGGGCCCAGGTGAAGCCCTCCTGCCCATAACTCTCTTTCTGGGCCCGTGCAGATCCACTCCAGGGGACCATTCTACAATACTGAATGAGGAGAATAAAGAGAAGGTCAACGTTAGCTTCCTTGCAGCCAATCCAGATTTTCTCAACCTGGTTTCCCCATGCATCTCAAATTTCAAATTACTCAGCGTGTTAAGGCTCTCTGCCACCTACCCCTTCATTCCCTCCCTCCAACCAAGGGAAAACCCCTTTATAGTATTTACACCTAGACATTCATTTGTTTACTCTCCTCCTCAATCAGTTCCTTCAACTGTACCTGTTAGGTGTCTTCACTATCCCCAGATTTAAGAATTTCAAGCAACTATCATGTCCTCCGCTCAGGTGTTTTCCTCTTCACTGCTGTGCGCACACATCCACAGAAACCCAAGCCCCTCTCCCACATTTTATCTCCCTCTACCACTCTCCTCGTCAGCACTCATCACCACCTCCAGCTTGCTTCAACAACTTAACTCATGTCTCCTTTCTTCCCTTTTTTTTAAATTTGAAGGTGGGGAGCACATGCAAGCTGGGGGGGGAGAGGGGGGAAAAGGAGGGACAGGGAAGACAGAGAGAATCTTAAGTAGGCGGGGCGCCTGGGTGGCTCAGTTGGTTAAGCGTCTGACTTTGGCTCAGATCATGATCTCACAGTTCGTGGGTTCGAGCCCCGCGTTGGGCTCTGTGCTGACAGCTCAGAGCCTGGAGAGCCTGGAGTCCGTTTCAGATTCTCTATCTCCCTCTCTCTCCGACCCTCCCCTGCTCACGCTCGCTCGCTCTCTCTCTCTCTCAAAAATAAATAAAACATTAAAATTTTTTTAAAGAATCTTAAGTAGGCTCCATGCACAGAGCCCAACGTGGAGGTTGGCCCCACAACCCTGGGATCATGACCTGAGCCCAAATCGAGTCGGCCCCTCAACTGACCAATCCACCCAGATGCCCCTTCTCCCCTCTTCAATAATGTTCCCAAAATACAGCTCTGATCTGGCCACTCCCTAGCTTCCCATCAATTACTAAAAAAGCTCAAACTTCTCAGCATGGAGCTTAAAAAACTCTTCCTTCTTGGGGTGCCTAGGCGGCTCAATGGGTTAAGCGTCCAACTCTTGAGATCGAGCCCCAAGTCAGACTCTGCTGACAGCTTGAAGGAGCCTGCTTGGGATTTTCTCTTTCCCTCTCTGCCCCTCCCCTTCCCTTGCATGCACCTGCATGCATGCTCTCTCTCTCTCTCAATAAACTTTTAAAAAAAACACCGGTTTCTTCCCTACAAGCTATCAGGTTCCCTTCCCTGGCCACTTCTGTGCCTTTGTTCACACTGTTCCTTCACTCAGAAACCACCCTTTCCCCCGCAAGACTATCCAAGTTCCTCTGAGCCTTCAAGGCCCAACCTCAGCTCCTCCTACCCAAGGCTTCCTTGTGCTCTCTAGCTTTTCTTCACCGTTCTGGTGGGTCCTACAACTCTGTCATACCCCACACTCAATTTCATGTTTAGTTATGTGGCCCATGTCTTACAGCACCTGATACACCATGAAGGGTCTTAAAAACTGTAAGACGGGACTGTGTTGTATGTATTTCCACAAACCTCACAGCACCTTGTATCAGGTCTTACATATAAGATATGCTAAAATAAATAAATAAGTTTGCCATACCATCTCTCCTCTTAAAAACAAAAAACGACTATTTACCCCTAAATATACAGACCGTATCACCAGCCTTTGGTTTGCTGCAGCTTAGGACATCTCACCCAACCATTACTAAAAACCAATTGCTTTCCTTGAAATGCATTCTCTACCACCTTGTTCCTAGATAAACTAATTACTTACCCTAAAAGAAAATCTTCAAATCCAAATTTTTACTGCTTACCTACATCCCCACTCCTCAACCCACAATCACAGGATTAAAGCTGACTTCCTCCCCTATCCCTTACAAAGGGAATAGAGAATACACCAAATACACTACAGAATTTACCACAGGAGACAAGGAACAACTTTGTGTTTCTAATAGTCATTTCAATGTTCTAACATCAGTTATCGAAATACTACGTAATGACTCAAAACTTGACCCTGATAACCCAAAGACTAGGTCACTGAAGAAACTGGAAAATTCTGGACCACTCTCCATTATAAAAGGAAAACAAGATGGCCACTGGGGTCCACAAGATGGCTCCTAGAGGTGTAAGCAGCCATCCCTCCACCCTCCACCCTCCACCCCCCAACAAAGCAGGCAGAGAATCTACCAGCGGTACCTAAACCTGGCAACACAAAATGATCAAAGTAGACAGTTTCAAAATACAATAAAAAATACATAACTGGGGGCACTACTCTAACATGGGGATGTGTATTTTCAAGTCTTCTGTGTTACTCTGCACAGCCAGTTTGGAAAGCACTGACCCGCAGGACTAAGAGCAAGAAGTGAAGACTCTTACCTGATACAACCATCAAAGGTGCCTGGTTTGAAGGGAATGCCCTGGCCCATGTCCCCCAGAAGCAGGTCTCCCTCAGTGTCTCGGTCCAAGGCCGCATCTACATGGGACGATAACACATCAGGAAAACAGACGACGCATAGCTGCTCCATACTCATGAAGCACAGTCAGCTCCAACACTAAGTAGCACATCTTACCCAGCATGGCAGGGCTGATGTCGATGCCCACCCAATAGTGTCCCTCATCTGAGAGATAATCTCCACTCAGCCCAGAACCACAACTGGAAGACATAATAAAACAGGAGCTCAATAGGGTGAGCAGCAAAGACACTCCTCCACCTGGACGCCCTGAACTAGGCTGCAAGATCTCACCCAATATCCAACAGGTAACAGGGCTGACCCTCCGGCAGACAAAGGAGCTCCAATGCACGCCCAGTCATCTTGGTCTGGACATCAATCATCCGTGAGCTGGGAAGGCAGAAAACACAAGCAAGTGATAAAGGATTTCTGAGCTAAAACATTTAAAAAAAAAAAAAAAAAAGGAGAGAGAGAGAACAAGACACAATCACCCTGAGGTACTGTCCCAATCACCAAACTCAACTACAACTGTTTAAAAGCACCCTCCAAAATCCATGGGATACAAGCAACAAGTTATTTGAGGACACAAATTACAACTTTGCCAGCTGCAAAACCAATGTGAGGGAAATAAATCGCTTAGCTAATGACCAGCTACGTGATATTTTCAAGTCAATAAGGTTTTGACACGATTATTACTTAAAGACTCGTTTTCTGGAAAAATGACCCACCGAAGTTACTCTCCTGTATAAGGCTCAACAAGGCACAACAAAAACCAATAGCGGTTATTATCCATGAGAAATACAATGCAAGCCACATGGGTCTTTCTTAGTGCCACGACCACAACGAAACACACAAAATTAACTGTAATAGGTCTCACTAGCCCAAGATGCTCTAAATAGCATCTCAACACATCATCCACATAAAAAAGGTAAAATGCTAACATTTCCTTCACAGTAAGTCATTGAGACCAAACATTATTTTAAAAGAGGACTATGGACTATTAAGAAAACGGGTCTACAGTGCCATCTGCCTTTCCCAAGGTCAAGAGGGAGAATCACACGGAGTTCTGCTGCTGGCGGGGGATAAAAGCTTATGTTGCTACACAGTAACAACTGGGCCAGAGATTTCTGCTCGCCTTCAGGGTCTTGGACTCTAATTTGAATGTAAAGCAGAACAGTTCTCTCTGCAGCAGTCTCAGAGCAGGCTTGGAAGTCTCTGTTGTATCTTTCGCCTGTTACACGACTCCATAGTTAACACGAATAACTTCCCCCCCAAAATTCGGATAAACCACCAACACCCGTCACGAGAGCTTAACGACAACGCAAACGGACACACCGCATTCTGTGATTACGATTTCCTTCCCCTCAATCGCACCGACCCCCTTACACGTACCCACTGCCCCCGCCGATGTGACCACATGCCTCAAACAAGCGGTCACACGAAACTCTGAGAACCACCTGGAGAAAGTACGTAGGATGCAACCCCGTTTTAATGCGAAGTTCCCTGAGGCCCAGAGCGTTCCGCGATTTACTCAAAGACCTAACTCTCCCACCGTAAGCAATGCGATGAATCCGAGTCCCTTCCTTCCCCCCGACACCCCAAACTCTTGCGTGCTCTCCAAGCAATGCCAGCTCTCCCGATAACTTGCCGGTCCCCGAACCCCGACGCCGCGCAACATCTAGGCTCCCCCTACTTGCGCACGTATTTCCGGGCTTCGTTCTTGTCATAAAACTGCGGGAAAGAAAAAGAGAAGAGCAGAAGACAAGGAATCAAGACGCGAAGGCCTTAAACGAGGAGGGAAGGCCGTGCGCGAGCCGCAAGACTCACCAGCTCCGGGGGCCCGCCGTGCTCCGGTCTCTTCCCACGGGACGCCATCTCCACGCCTCAGCCGCGAGCCCACTGCGAGCGGTCCGGGGACCCGACTTTTATGTCTTCTGCCCCGCTCCCGCCCGAAAATACGCATGCTCCACCTCTCTCCCCGCCTCCTCTTCTACTCGATTGGCTGCAGGGCGGACGCGCTGCGAACAACGCGCGCCTCCCATTGGCCAGTTAGTCTTGCACCGCCCGCTTGGCCCTTTCAAGATGGCAACCAAGCGCGATCTGAGGTGGCCGCGGCCGTTGCTGTGGAGGTTGTGGCTGGCCCGGAGCGCTCCACAGACTCGGGGTTCCCGCCTGGGCCTAGAAAGGAGGACTTATTCTCAGGGCGACGGCGCGTACTCGCGCACGGCGCTCTACGAGCTGCTCGGCGTGCCCTCCACAGCCACGCAGGCGCAAATCAAGGCGGCCTACTACCGGCAGAGCTTCCTCTACCACCCGGACCGCAACTCGGGGAGCGCCGAGGCTGCCGAGCGCTTCACGCGCATCTCCCAGGCCTACGTGGTGTTGGGCAGTGCCACCCTGCGTCGCAAGTATGACCGCGGCCTGCTCAGCGACGAGGACCTGCGCGGACCTGGCGCCCGGCCCCCCAAGGCGCCGGTCCGCGACACCGGCTCGCCCCGCCCCCCGCCCCCCGCGTCTCAGGCCCGCGGCCGGGGTCAGGCCCCCACGGGCGCCAACCGCACGATGTTCGACTTTGACGCCTTCTACCAAGCTCACTACGGAGAACAGCTGGAGCGCGAACGGCGCCTTAGGGCCCGGCGAGAGGCCCTGCGCAAACAGCAGGAGGCCCGGGCCAAGCAGGGCTTCCACTGGGACGATACCCGAGACGCGACCCTTGTCTTCCTTCTCCTCACCGGCTTCATCATCATGGGCTTTCGTTTTTAAAAGGAGAGAGGAAGAAAGGGAGCCGCCCCCAGCCAGCCCCAAGAAAATGGCCTTTCCCGTGTTCTCGAACCCTTTGCCTTCCATAGTCTACCTCTGCCGGTGTCCGAAGAGACTGCTCTTCCCCTCCTATTCCCCGCTTAGCCATCCACCTACGCGTCCCACCCCGACGGTCCAGGAAAGGAGGCTTTTCGGTGCCCAAGAAAGAGGCCCCAAGAAGAAGAGTCCCCAGAGCCCGAGAGTGACGGGCTCTCTCGAGTCCCTTGGGTGCCTTGCTCCCAGAGGTTGCCTTCCCGATGTCAGCTTCTGGAACACTTGCTCGGGCTTTATTGTAAAGCTCTGAGCAAGACTTGGCTGCTCCTGCCCCGCATTTGTACCGTGGGGCTCCTGTGTAACCTTGAACAGTGCAATGTGACCAATTGCTGGCTGCCAAAAGAGAAAATGCGGGGTGGTTCGAACCTTGTCTTTCTCTGTGAGTTCCCCAGCCAGAGATGGGACCCGCCGTAAGAATGCGATCTCTGGAAACCTTGCTGTTCTCGCCCGATCAGCCCCAGACCCCGCTCCCCCTTCTCTTGGCGGGCATGTGGGAGTGGGGGAGCAAGGTCATGGAGCACAAGGAATTGAGTGTTCCTGTGCCCGCAGCTATCTAATGTATGACCTTGGAGAAGCTACTCTGTGGGCATAACAGCAGAGGAACAAATCATTTGCTCTCCTGAGGTCTGTCACGCTTTATTATCTACACTTCTAATGGGCTCATTGATTAAAACGTGATGTGATGGAGTCAGGTTTATCCTTGGGACGGTATGCCTGTCCCCTGGTCATTCCCTCTGCCAGCCAGCCCCATCGCTAACTGTGCAGCCCATCCCCTCCCAGAAATAGAGCAGCAAGCTGGGGGGCTGAGTGGCCTGAAGGTGGCCTGTCCTCTTGTTTAGCCCCACAAGCCAGATCCTTGAAACCTGGCTGCTTGAGTTTAGAGTAGACAGTACTGCTAAGGGACAGGAGGCATGTGGTGGAAACTCTTTATTCAGAGCTGGCTGAGGCTTCCCCCCCCCTTTTTTTTATGTTTATTTATTTTAAGAGCGTGTGTGTGACCCCGGGAGAGGGGCAGCGAGAGGGAGAGAGAATCTGAAGCAGGCTCCGTGCTCAGCTCGGAGCCAGATATGGGACTCCGATCCCAGGACTGTGATATCATGACCTTAGCCGAAGTCAAGAGTCGGACACTTAACCCACTGAGCCACCCAGGCTCTCCTCTCTCTTTCTTTTTTTGTTTTTTTTTGCTCTCTCTTTCTAAGCAGGTGGTCATCACTTGGCTAGAGCTGTAGTAGTCAGGCCCTTGACCCTGAGTCCCTGTGCGTGGCATATGTATTGGCTGTAAGATTTTAGGTACTTAAGCATTAATGCATGGGGCCTAAGTGTAAAGCTGTGAGCTGGGGAGACCTTTGCAAGAGATCTGCCACAGGGTGAGGACAGGAGTGTAAGTGCTAAACAAAGCCAAAGGTGCTCGGGTGTATTAATAAGAATTCCTGCATTCGATCTTGTGTGTGAAATCCGTGTAATTAGGATAAGCCCACAGCTAGTTCAAACTGGTGTCTTGGAAACCGTTTGATTCTCTCCAGCCTTGGAGGTCAGGGGCTGCAGTGACTGTCCAATTCAGTGGGAAGCATTTGAGCCTGCTTGAGCTCAGTGAGCCTTGGTTTGGGGGAGAGGTGTATGTACTTGTAAAAAGAACATTTAATGTTGTTATGTTTCATATTTGGAAAACAAGTCCTTTTTGAAATTCAAACAACAGGAACTGTTAAGCTTAGTAAAATGCAAAGAAACAAGTGATTCTCCGCCAAGCAGTTGCCATAATTTGGGGCAAGCGTCTGTCAAAGTATCTATCAAAAAAGAACTGGGGTTCTTTTGGGGTTTGTTTGCAAAAGCACTCATGGTCTGGTCTGTAATAGCTGGGACCTTTCTCGTGGGCTCCTTGGCATAGACCTCAAGTTTGTTTTCTCTCAGTGAATGTCCCGTGGGGCTCCAGAACATGAAAGATACAAAGTTCCATAAGGTTGGAGGAGGGGGCAGACCCTGTGAAGCTTCTGGCTTCTGGAACATTCCATGCAACGCTGAGCAGGGTAGTCAATAAAGTTTGTTAATCATCCAACTGTAAGCCTCTCCTGAGGCCCAGAACCAGGCTCACACCACCCTTACAGTGCCATCCTGCCTGCCTCAGGTTTGTTTTGTTTTTTTAGCTCCGAGATGAACTCTTAAGTTCCTACTCTGTACTCTCCCTAAAATGGAGTTTGGGCACTTTATGGAAGGGGAGATGTGTGGGAGGCCTTTTGAAGGACCCTTAGACCCCTTCCCACCTATCCCCCACCCCCCAAAATTGTCCCAGGTCTGTCCTTTCTCAGTTTCTTGCTTGCTCTGGGGAGGAGAGACTGAACCAGGCCGTGGACATTATCCCCTCCTTTCTAGGCGCTGCTCCCCAATCCCCAATAATGGAGGAAGGCTCAGACACACTCAGCTTTAGTGCCTTTTCTCCTTTTGATCGCAAACTAAAACAAAACTCCCTTGCAGGTTGGACCTTGGAGGCGGACAAGAGCAGCCCAGCCTGCCTTGGGCTGTGTTCACTGGGGTGGGGATGGGGTTGCAAGTACAGTATGAGGCTGAGTGAGCAGCACACTCAGGTCCTAAATTGGGAGACCCAGACAAGACAGGAGTCAAAGGTGGCGGAGGCAATTGTATACCGTCTTTGAACTTGATTAGGACTGAGAAAGAGGACAGCCGGCAAGTGGTGGCATTACTTCAATCCGCTGTCTTGAATTCAGTGCACTAGAAAAGTGAGCTCTCTCCTGGTCTTCGCCTCCTCTCAGTTCCTCAGCCGGTGACAGGGTCACACGCTGTCACCTGCCTATGATCAGGATCACAGGAGAAGGCCTGCCTTACCTGTGCTCAGTGCCTTGGTTCTCAGGCCCAGCTTGTGGTCCCGGTGACCATAGGGTGTGTGCGAAGCAGTTGAAGGTCCCTCTGTTACTATGTGAGGATGACAGTGACCTGAGTCTGGTCCTTGTGAACTTGCAAATACTGAGAACCTTCAGTGCTGTCATCCCCAAGAAGCAGGTGCAGAGAGCCCACCTTCACCATTTGCTGTGAGGTCATAGCGGCACTAACGATCTAGCCATCTCACCACCATCTCTTAAGCCTGCCCAGACCTGGGGTCCTCTAACCAGACTTGAGGTGCATTTGCCCTCCCATCCCACTTTGTTCCGTTCAGCGTTCACACCCTCAGTCCTGGGAGGGGGCTGCTACCAAACCAAAGAAGGCCTGTTTCAGGAAGACCAAGAGGGGGCTGAGATTTGTGGTCCACGGGCCACACAGCCAGCCTGCGCACGGTGTTTGGCTGTGGCTGGCACGGCATCTTAAAAAAAACCTTAAGCCAACTTTCAAATCTTGAGAGACTGTATAAAAATCCAGAGTTCTGACTTCTCTCAAGCAAATGAGAAAATGTGCTGCCATTGCACTCACGCACAGCCTCGAGTGTGTTACCACCTGGGAGAAGCTGTAACATTTGCCTTTGAGAGAGGACACAGCCCAGTTCGCTATGCTCCCGCCAGCAGACGGGAAGTGTGAAAGGCCTTGATCTACACACTTGGCCATTTTGCTCATAACAGAGAAGTATCTCTCTATACTCCATGGGGGGAAAAAAGGGACCATGCATTCCCAAAAAAATGGGGGAGGCCGTATTCCTTTGCGGAAATGGGTTGCTTTGCACCTCTGTGACCTTCCTAGCCCCTGCAGACATTTGAGTTTGCAGATCCCTGGGCTACATCATCTGTTGTTATGAGAGCTCACACTTAAGCGGGGAGGCAGAGTGTAAACCTTATTTTCATCGTGGGACAAGAAGGATCTTTTGAGAAGTTTACGGCAATGGCAAGGCCCTAGACAAAGCCAGAGGTCCTTTGGCACCATAACATCAATTCCTGCGCTCGCACTCAGTCTTTTGTATAAAATCCTTTATAAAGTTGGGATAAACCAGCAGCGAGTCCAACTTGGTTTCTTAAAAAACATTTGATTCTCCAGAGAGAGGGCAGGGGCAAATTCTTAGCCACGGCTTTGCAGTGAACACCCCACAACTCAGTGGTAAAGAACTGAATCCATTCTGGTTCAGACCTGCTTAGTTCAGTAAGCCTTGATTGGCTCCAAAAATGGTATTATGTTTTATCTTTGAGAAACAAGGGGGAAGCTTAGGAAAATACTCAGAAGTTAGTGACTCCCAAACAAGGATATATGCACATAACAGACTTTCTTAAATGGTGGGAGCTCTTTGTTGTTGTTTGTTGTGTGTGTGTGTGTGTGTGTGTGGTTGTTTTTGTTTTTTTAAGTTTATTTATTTATTTTGAGAGAAGAGACCGAGAACTCCAAGCGGGTCCCGCACCCTACTCAAACTCATGAACCATCAGATCATGACCTGAGCCGAAGTCAAGAGTCGGACACAACCGACTAAGCCACCTAGGTGCCCCTTGGAAACTTTGTTTTTATCGAAAAGAGACAAAAGTTTTGTTATTTGGACAATTTTTATCTTTTTGGTTTGTAAAAGCACTGGTGGTCTGTAATAGTGGGACCTTTCTCATGGACCCCTTGATTTAGACTCTCAAGTTTGTACTCTCTCGAAGAGCATTGCAGCCAGGAACATTCCCTGGGGTCCTGGAACCCAAGCAACAGAAAGTTCCAAAAGTTGTCAGGCAGCAAAGGAGAGCCCAGACTGCCTGGAACCTTCCAGAGCTTTCCAGAACATTCCATGTACCTTTAAGCAGGGGGCTTAATGAAGTTTATTAACCATCCAACTCTAAGACTTTACCATGGCCCAGAACTGAGCCCACTCCACTCTGTCACTATCTGTACCCACCTGCCTCAAGTCTTTTATGCTGGAACTGAACACCAAAGAGCCCCGTTCCATACCCCTTCTAAAACTGTTTGAAGCCTTTGAGGGAGGTAAAACCTTTTGAAAGACATCATCTGGTTCCCTTGTTAACACTCTTCCCCCTCTTCCCTGCCCTGGGGAGGGGAGGCTGAGCTACTAGGCCGTGGACATTAGCCTGTGCCTTCTAGAGGCTGCTCCCCAATTCACAATAGTGGAGGAAGGCTCAGACGTGCCCAATCTTAGCTCCTTTTCTCCTTTTGATTGCAAACAAACAACCCTGGAAGCTGGACCAGGAATGGAAAACCAAGACAAGGGAGGCTCATGTTAACCTAGGCTGTGCTGAGAACGTGGGGTCTTCCAAAGTTGTTCAGTCTTCTGTCAGCTCAGGCAGGTACCCTGTGGTTCCAGTGTCCCTCAGCTTCAGGCAGTTCAAGTGCAGGCAGCAAGGACAGTAGGGGAACCAAGGCCAACGTGAGGTAGAGCTTCCCAAGTGGGCACTATCTGCGCTGGACCCCTAGCAGGAGTACCTCTGACTGCTGGCACTTGAAGGATCTGGAAGGCTCAAATGGGCCAGTCCCTCCAACCACTGCTTAAATCTCTGAAGCTCCCATCAAGCAGTCACTCGGATACTGCTCACACATCTTCGTGGTCGGTCCCCATCCTTCCTAAGGTTTCCACCACTGGTCTTGACTCTGACCTGCAGCTCTACATCTCTAACCCTTGGAGACTCAGAAGCTAACTAACTGTCTCACTCGTTTCTCAGACGGATCCCTCAACTACTCATCAGGAGATTTAGTCCCAATCCTCTTTCTCATCATGCACATTAGGGACATTCCAAGGAGACCAAAGGTGGCAATTTATGGTGGGGGGGGTCCCTCTTACAGTGTAAAACTTCAATGAAAAGTAGAGCCAACCCAATACTTTTCTCTTTTTAGATGGTTCTATCCCTATTAACGTGGACCAAGATCACACTCGCTTCTACAGCACTGTCTGCCCCCTCTTGTTGGCAGGACCTTCCGCGCCTCCCTGACAAACTTCATCTCATTAGACTTGACCTAAGCTGACCCACAGCCTGCTTCTGCTCTCCTTCTTGTCCCACACTCATCAGCCTAGCTGGCCACCTCGTATTCACCCTAGCTGAAGACCAAGGCCTTCAGCCTTACAGAAGCCCCTCAGTTCCTCAGTGGAGGCGGCCATCTGGCAGGCGAGAGCGGGAGCCGGTACCATCCGGATTGGGCTTACAGGCAGCCCCGGAAGAGAAGGCGCATACAGGCGAGGCAGCTGGAGAACAGAGATGGAGTAGAGTGTGCTTCTGACCAGAAGTGCTGGGAAGTTAAGAGCTGGGAAAGACTCCCAAGGGTTGGTAATCAGAGAAGGCTTCATGGAAGAGGCAGCAGCAGTGCTGGACCTGAAGGAGCTGGGCTTTGGATAGGCAGGAGGGAAGGGAGGGCATCTCAAGAGTAGGAAGCACAGGAACTCCAGTGCGGAGGCCACATGGCCGAGCGGCTGGTTGAGGGAGCAGAGAGGAGTCGGGCAGCATCGTCATCCTCATCATCACATTTATTGACGGCCCCTGGGAGGTGGGGCTGGGGACAGAACATACAAAGACAAGGACCTGCCCTCAAAAAGGTTCCATTCTAAGGAGACGGGGACAGAAAAATACAGAATGGTCTTTCCTGGGGATGGCCCACTCTCATCTGTGCAGGTCAGGAGCCCCTGGCCTACCTTGCCCCGGGGTCAGGAGCAGGAGTGGGGCACAGAGTAAGCCCCAGGGCCATGGCGTCCCTGGCCACGCACCTGGGGTCTGACCACCTGGCTCCTAGGCTGTGGGCCCCAGAACCAGGGAAAGGTAGGAGCAGTATGCGATGGAAGGCGCTCCCACCGGCCTTGGCGTTGTGCTAGCCCAGTGGAGTGG